TGTAGTAACACACACCAGCAAGTTTTTAATCCAGACATTATGTTTCTTTTTAACCATCTTGATTGAGTAGGAGATCCATATCAAATCCTTTTTGATTGCTAATGTAAAGAGGCTATAAACCTGTTTCCTACTCAAAAACATTAACTGAAAGCTTTCTAATATCAGCAATTTTAACTGGAGAATTTATATCTTTAAAGTTTTTTTCCCTGAGATGTTGGCTATACTTAGATGTACGGTTATTATACTTTTGATTTGGGTACGATGCACTAAGAAGTACCCACTTAAAGGATTAGTTGTCCGTATTTATTACATTTACAACACAATGCTATAGGATGCATCCCAGTGTTTTAATGTAGCTCTTTTTGCGAAAAGGTCTGCATTTTGTAAGTTTTATATTTAATGATATGCAGCGCCTCATACGCCGCCCGGGTCCTTCGTAATAAATTTTTCAATTAGTTAAATGATTTTCGCTGGAGCTGGAGCTTTTTCAAGCATGTCCTAATATGATTTATACTAGTAATTGGGCAATATGGGATTGCAGATATACAGTCTGCTTTATAGTTTTGAAGGATTCACCATCATCATCAATGTTTTCAATGCTAAAAGAAATATTTTTTATTTTAGCAATAAGAACTTATAATATTTTCTGACTAAGTTTTTCAATATTATCTTTTCTTATTTCATTAATTTTTGATAACATTTCATTTATAAATACTAATGTACCAGACTTAAGATTTTGACCTTGAGATCATTTCGCTTTATAGTTAATATGTTGATTTCAAAATTGGTAAATCTTCTTCATTCGACTCTCATAGACCTAGCTTTATTAAAAAGTTGTAAAAAATTTTATCTTGCTCTTTTAGTTGCTCATCTGTCAGCTTTTCTTTCAACGCTAATGGGAAAAGTTAAGCTTTGGGTAATGGCATGAATTTGTCGAGCTCTTTATTATATTCTTTCCAGCTAATCTCGCCATCTACAAACAATTTTTGTAACTGGGGAAAAAAAGATGGTTTGTTTCTAGCCATCTTCTCTTCCCTAGTTATTTTATTGTCCAGGTCTTATCACTGAGCCCCATTTTTACGTATTTAGAATAATCGTAATAAATATGTATAATTTACAAGTTATTTATTGAAATATAAATAATAATTATAAATAATAATTGTAAAATAAATAATAATTAGTTTAGAAAAAACTTCAAGAGCAATATTCATTTTAACAGCAATAGTCAAGTAAACAAAAAAAAACTAAAAAACTAAAATAAAATAAAAGAGCACGTAAATAAATTTTCGGTGATAAGAGCTAAAAGTTTTCCATACCTGTTTCGTTTTAAAAAGTTTTCTGTGTGAAAGATACTAAAATGATTTTTATGAGGGATGTCAAAAATAGTTTCTGTGAATGGAAGTGTAAAAAGTTTTTTTGCTGGTGGTGTCTCATTTATTAATTTATATATGGAATAGCCGTATTGTAGTACTTAATCATGGAAGAGTTTCTAAAATTTTTTCGTGAGTAAAAGGTTTTCTGTGAGTGTCTTAATCTTGTGTATCCTGGATGGTTGTGCAAGAAGTTTTCTGTGGGTATGTACCAATAAGGTTTCAAAGAAGACTACAAAAAGATTTTCGCGTTTGTTTTTACTATAGGTGTAAAAGAATTCAGTGGTTGACTGAAATTTCTCTATCAAATAGTTGCTTGGTAGTACTGAACCATTAAGAAATTTTCCTGACCTTTTGAAACTAGTGAAAGTGGTTCCAATATATAAAGATGGTGGCATCTCAAAACTATAGACCTACTTCAATACTTCCATTTTGTCTTTAAATTCTAAACCAAGTAATGCGTAATAGGCTTAATAGCTATCTTACAAATCCCAAAGTTCTAAATAATTATCAGTACAGATTTAGAAAAAGGCACACGACAGAATATGCAGTAATTAAATTATTTTAAGAAATTTTAAATGGGTTTGAAAACAAACAATATACTCTTGGAGCATTTATTGATCTATTAAAAGCCTTTAATACTGTGGACTATGATATTCTTCTGTACAAACTTAAAATTTATGCAGTTAAAAATAATAATTTTTAAATAATCATAATTCGTAAACAAAGTGTATCTATTGTATATGCGTAAATTAGAAAACATTAAATATGGAGTTCCACAGGGATCTATTCTCCGGTCTTTATTGTTTATTATTTGTATAAAAAATATTTACTAATCATCTAGTGTATAAAACTTCAATCTTTTTGCTGACAACACTCAAATTTTTTTACCCACTCTAACATTAAGACAACCCTTACCATTATGATTTGTGATCTCAACGAATGGTTTAAATCGAACAAATTCTCTCTGAACACAACTAAAAGCAAACATTTTTTTCTAAATCTTCTAAATCTGACACCCTGTCATTAAAAGTTTCAACGGACATTTTGTGTTAAATTCTTAGATATTTTAATCGATAAGCAAGTAAGTTGGAAATAGCACATTAATCTAAAAAAATAAAATTTAAAAAATTATTAGAGTTATGTATAAAACTAGATAAAAGTTAAAATAAACTGTTTAAAATTTATGTCTTTTTCATTTATTCATAGTTATATTTTTTATTATAATATTGCCTAGGCAAGTACTTATCCGTCAAAAATAACGTGTATCTTAAAAAACGTGTATCTTATCTGAAAAACAAGCTGACTTATGGTAAATGCTAATAAATACACCAATGCCAACCCACTGCTTAATGTACTAAATTTTATCAAATAAATAGTATATTTCTATTCATGTTTAGATTATCATACCATGTGTTGCCTAATATTTTAGAAGACCTTCTCTTAATTATAGATCATAAGTATCAAACAAAGCATTTATTGCTTAATTATCGGGTTCTAATAACTTTGTTAAAACAATCCGAATTCTCAATAACGTACCAAGTTTAAAACAGTTATTTGATAAAGTAACTGAATTGAGTAAAGTGGTGATATACCAAGTTCTAAGAAACGTTTTAAGTATTATTATTATTATTAATATTATTGTTATTATTGTTATTACTATTATTATTGTTTTTTATTATTATTGTCAGTAACATTATTATTAATTAGGCCATTATTAAAATGATAAATATTTTGAACTTAAGAAAAAATTTCTCTTATAGATCTTTTTTTAAAAACGGTCAACAATCCTTCACCTTTTTTTTATTAACGGTCAATTTTTTTAAAAACGGTCAACAATCCTTCACCTTTTTTTTATTACTCTTATCATCATTTCACAACTGAAAGTGTATTTTTTTCTGAAAGAGTATTTCTTTTCTGAAAGAGTATTTATCAACAGGAGATTCAATCAAAACAAAGAAAGGAACAAGTTTAAATTTTAAACATTCAATTCACATTTGTTTTTGAAACATATATTAAAAAAAAAAAAAAAATCAAAAAATAATTCAAATAATAAATATCAAAGAGTTGTTCATTAAAGTTATTCATCAAGTTATTCAAAGAACTTCCTCACTTAAAACTAAAAAACTTTGTAGACAAACCGGCTTCTGATTTGCTAAAGCATTAATTAATGTTTTGTGAGTATAAAATGCTGTAATTTTTCTTAAAAATTATGAGTTTTCATTAAATTTGGTACAGCAAAAGATTTAGAGATTTTTAAATAAAGTCTGTTTTGTCTCGAAATTAATCAAGAATAGATTTTTTTACTTATCGTTATAACGAAATGATAACGGTAAATTAAAAAAAATAAGCGAATGTCTTACGAAACGATAAAATGCTTCATTTTGTTTCGTCAATCTCGCTAAAATTTACTATTTACTTCCGAGATGCAACAGCTTAGTCCTTACGGTCTTATCACAAAGTACCGCGGAAGAGCATTTAAGAGGAAGTTCATGCCCATTTCCTAGCAGATGTCGAGCCACGGACCCATTGTTTCTGAGGCAAGTACGCCACCACTGCGCCACGGCTGTTTTTAATTTTCATTATTCTACATTTTTGTCTGTACGCAAAATTACTTTTGACAAACTGTTCGAGTATTAGAATGTTTTAATATTTTTTTATTCAATGCACGATTAGTTGAAAAGCTCGCGTACCTGGTTGGGCTAACTTTGTGCATGTTTTTTTTTAAGAAGCTGTTTTGCCCCTAATTTGCACACTTATTTACTTTGCACACATTAATTTGCACACCTATTTAATTCAGCCTTTTGACTATTATTGATAGACTATTGTCTACCTTTTGCATCAGTCATGTAACTATTTGATTATATATAATGCTTTTGTAAATATTTACATTAGACATGTAACTATTTATTTATATATGATGCTTTTTATAAATATTTGCATTTGTCATGCAACTATTTATTTATATATTATGCTTTTGTAAATATTTTCATCAGTCATATAACTACTTATTAATATATGATATTTTTTGTAAATATTTGCATTAGTCATGTAACTATTTGTTTATACAAAAAAAACGAGATTTTTTCATCTGCTCAATACAAAATTTTCTCTAATTTTTTCCCAAGCTGCAAAAACCCTTTCTGCTCTATGCTGCAGTAATCAACAATGCTCTAATTGATAAAGTTTATAACCTTCATTTTTAATATTATTGTTTTATTTTTCCAAATGTACAGCACAACGACAAAACGTACAGTAGACTTTAATAGAAGTTAATGAAATAAGTTGTAGTTTAACTACAATGCAATACAATTCATTTTATTTTCCCCTTATGGCTTAAGTTTAAGTATGTTTTAAATATTTTTCATTTCCTAAACAAAACTGAACTCTTAAATAAAACAATGGTTTCATTCAACCTTTGAGCCTTGTGAAAAATAGAGTATTATACGTTGCATAACTATATAGGTTGTAGTTACTCGTGAACTCAGTTAAGTCTTTTTAAAAATAATGCAAATATTTTTTTACTGTAGATATTATTTCCTAAAAATATCATTTTTATATTAGAGTTTTAAAAATTTTGTATACAATGTTAAAAAAGATTTTTTCAAACATTTGAACGATTGCAAATAATTACTTTTGAAACATTTTTTGTTTTTAATTATTGTCAAACTATTAAAAGAAAAAGTACTATCCAAAGGTTTTCGTTTTCTTTACTATAAAACCAGCGGTTCCTTAGCTACTTTGCTTTTTTTTTTGAAGAGTTTTTAAAACACTTTTAATTGCTCGTCGGTAAATTGAAGCGATCACTTTTGAGCGCTCTTCGTTGGTTTTTGTTAAAATAACTGCTTTGCTTTCCTCACCCTTTGGAAGCTTTATGTCATTTAAAAATACTTTTGATAAATCAGTTTGAGATTTTTTATACATATTCAACGGTATCACTGCCGCGTTTACTCTTGTAGGAACCATCATTTTTTTTGCTCCATTTTCTACAAATGGTTTATCATGCCCTGTGAGATCTATAAATTTAACTCTGATATGCATCTGTTGTGGTTTTTCGTGATGGTTGAAAGAAGATTCAACATGGTGTTCGTTATCGATTGGTGTTTCGCTTTCATGCAGAACTAGGTTGATAATTTCTTCTAATATTTTTTTAACGTTTTGCAGCCTGTTAACAATACTGTGTTCATTAGATTCTTCTGGTACTGGTTGAAAATCAAGATTGTTGGTCTCAGAATGAATTGCATTAGTTGATGGCAAAGGAAGTTTTTGGATATGCTCTTCACTTACAATATCTTCAGATTTCTCATTTAAAATATCATTACCCTCTGACTTTATTATCTTTGAATTCTCACTGACTGAAACAGAAGGCTGATTGTTAACAAGATTTATTTCGTGGGTTTTTTGAATATCTTTTACTACAGATTCAAATGCATTTTTTAAAAGCCCTAATGATTCGTAGTCAGGTTTATGCTCGTTGTGCGAAACGGCTTTTTTTAATGCATCCTCAATTTCTGTTAGTGTAATTTTGTTATCATTTTGATGAAAGTTTGATGTTAACGAATCTATCATCGATGTTGACAATGTTTTAACAACTTGTGGAGTTTCGCTTGAAACCTAATTTTGAAAAACACGAAACTCATTTTTTAAAATTAATCAATAGTTAAAACAGATTATCATTTATTCCAGAAACATTTATTAAATGAAGTGATTTATTTATTAAATGAAAATGTTTCCTTTATTAAAGGATAAAATTTAAATTACATAACAAAGAACTAAAGCTGTGTACAACTATAACTATTATACAACTTATAAAATGCATTTCAATTTGAAATCTAGTAAGTATAAAATTTATAAGAACAATATGCTGCATTATACAAAAGGTAGAGAAAAAAATACCTGCATTTGTTGTACGGCTTCCTTAAGCTCATTAACCATTTCTAATAATTTATCGTGAGCTGATTTTGAAGAAAAACTATGCGAACTAATTTTCTTTATTGGGTGTTGCACAGTTGTAACATGTGTTCCTTCTTCTTGTTCTAATTTTTCTAAGAGATGCGCAAATGGATCTTCACTGCTTTTTACAATATCATCAGCAGCATTGTTAGAGATTTTTGCCTCTTCATTTAAGTTTGTCGAAACTAAAAATGGGGTTGTTGTTGTATCAACATGATTCAAAATAGTTACTTGTTTTGACAATGTTAATACGTCTGATTGAACAGGACGATCAGCGTTAACTATTTCGTAATAAGAATTTTTTTCAATCGGTACATCATTAGCAGAATGAGGCTCCTTTAAAATATGATTACTAATAACTTCCGATGTTGTTTCTGTAGGTACGTCAATGCTTTTATCGGTCTCTTCTTTAGCCTGGTTATTTAAAGTTGTACCGGAGTTTTTAATGGTGTAAATGGTTTCGGTTGTGTCTTTAACGTGCTTTGAATTACTTTCATGACCATCTGCTTCGATATTTGTAATGTTATGGTGATGTTTTACATGAATCTTTAGTGGTATATCTCCTTCTGTCAACGATGCAGTGGTTAATCCATCACTAGTGTTTTCTAGATTTAAATTTTGGTGATCTGTTGGCGTTGGCTGAAGCACTGTTACATCTATTATTCCTTGACGGGCTAAACATGATATAAATTAAAAAAAACATTTTAAAATAAAAATAATTTGAAAATTAAATAATATTTATAGTAAAAGTATTTTACACTTTTTTTCTTAAACAAGTTTAGATCAAAAATTATATTAAAAAACTCCTTTCAAGTTTTACCTTCAGCAACTCCCTGATGTGATTTTTTTCTCAATTTGTATGCAGAAACAAAAGAAATGACAAAAAATAAATAAATAAGTCTCATTTTAAATGTTGTTTCACTGCTTTTTAAAAAAAATGTCAAATTTTTTGCAATATTACGCACATTTGCAAAACGCAGGTCTTCATGACAAACCGTAAACATCTTGCACAATTCGGTGGTTTTGGTTGTTAAATGTCTACTTGCTGGATATTTGGTATGTTTGATATTTATGTGTTTTCAGTAAATTTTCGAGTAAATAAAAAATTTATTATCTTATTACAAAAAAATGTGTTGGAAAAATATAAACTAAATATAAACTTACGTAAGTTTATACTTAGTTTACATGCGTCCTACACATTTTTTTTTGTAGTAAGATAATAAATTTTTTATTTACTCGAAAATTTGAAGATAATAATAAATTTAGATAATGATTGGATTGAATATAAAATCGGATAAAGATAAATGAACATTATAGAATTTTCTTAAAAATAAAACTTGAATTTAAAGATCAGATTTCTAAAATGTATAGTATATCATTTTAGAAATCTTATCTTTAAATTCAAGTTTTGTTTTTAATTTCTAAATTTCAACCATTACATAAATTACGCGTTGCGTAATTCATGGACAATCACTTAGGTGATCGCCCAAAAATTACGCAATGCTAAACTTATTTAAAAACTAGCAGTATTTGCTTATTGCGCAAGAATTTTAATTGGACTTAAGCACTAATTTTTAATTTTTGGTTTAATTAAAGACTGTTCGAGGGAGAACTTTTGATCATTTTTGATTTGTCTCATAATTAAGTTTGGCGTTTGCGTAAATTTAGGACTTTTTTAAAAAATTGCACAGTCAAATTCTGAAACAAATTAACAATTGAAACAGTGAAAGTTAAAAATCTCACTTATTTAAAGCTAAAATAGACTTAATCAAGTATATTTAACCTTCTTGTTTTGCCTGTAAAAGATTTCACATGGCGTTAAATCTCAACAGTATTGTATATTATATTACATTATTTAGGACAATCCTGTATTTGAAAAAAAGTCTTTTTAAAATAAAAAAATATAAGTAAAATAATCTATGAAAAATTAAAATTTTTTGAACGAGGAGAGATTTATTTTATTTAAAAGACAAATTTAAAGTAAATTGAGTTTATTTTTAGAAATTTTTAGTACCGGACTTTACATCCATTTAAAACGAATATGACACCCATTCAAATCAACCATATATCTATTTTAAACAACTATGGTATTCATTCAAAATATCCGTGACAGTTAGGGCTGGTAATGGGTAGGTCTGGGTCGGGTATAAGTGGATGCGGATCCAGACTTGACTTATATAAACAGGTCTGGGTTTGGATCGGGTTTCAACAGACCCAACACGGACTCACACCTAATTTAATAAATAAGTTTTGGTCGGGTCTGGGTCCCAGCCTATTAGTTATTTCAAAAAAAATATTGCTCGTTTTTTGTTTAAAAGTGCTCTAAAGAATCCTATCAATCTTTTTCTAGAATAGCATTAAGAGTTAGTATTGGTCTAATTAATGCAAGTAACATTATGACCCTTCCTTTAACGTAACTACTATAATAGCTAAAAACCAGGACACAACCACGTTCAAAGGCTTTTAACGCTCTTTTTTTTTATACCAAATCAAAAGGTATATATGATTTTGTTAGAGAAATACTTTGATTTGTTTGGGTTCTTATTTTCTTAAATTAAATTATAATTTAAGATGACGGTGAATAAAAACTTCAAAAATTAATAACAAATAACTTTTTTCCTTTTTTTTTTTTTTTTTTAATATATATTATTTTTTATATTTCAAATCATTCGATATTCATCTACTACGATATTTATCGAGAACTCTAACACCTGTTCTAAAGGCTGACTCTGAAGCAACAGTAGACAACGGAATCGACAAAATATCTCTTGCTAAAGATTGCATAAATGGAAATATGACTTCAACATGTCTCCGCCATTCCAGTTTGTCGACCTCTTTTTGATTAACAATCAATGGCTCATCTAAATACAACTGTAATTCATTTTTGAGTTTCAAGAAAGAAGATTTTAAGGCTTCATGTTTATTGAATTTCTCAATCCTTTTTGAATGTAAAAAAAAAAGGAAAAGAAATAAATTGATTTAAAAAGAAAAAAAAAGAAGAAGTAAATTGATTTGAACTTTTATGTAGCACTACACTTTTATGTAGCACACAACCATGTTGAAATACTTAGCAGCGTTCTCATTATACAACTTTTTTAACATTCTATTATTATTTTCTAGCTTCTGCTCACTTACGGCACCATAATTTTCCCTAAAGTGATACCCAACCCTAATTATTTTTATAACGCGGGTTTAATACAGATGCAATGGCTAATATATCGGCTAATATAACTAATTTTCCAATATTTTGAAAAATTTATTATAATTTTCCTACCCATTTCACGGATAAATTAAATATGATTGCTGCACATTTTAGCTATTTGTAAATAAATTTCACAAATATGAATAAAATAATAGTCTGTTGTTGGATTTATTGTTGTAGAGAAAAGATCTTTGAGAATTCTAACCATTGCGTCATTTGTTATCTAGAACAACTCACATGATTTTTTATTTAAATTCCATTTGTAACTTCTCAAGTTTTATATAGTGGTATTGCAGTCAGATTCGGAACTCCGTCTTGTCGGATTTTTCCTCTTTTTTTGGAATTTCTGAGTTTGAGAAAAATTAAAAAACTTCGACGAAACTTCGACGATGTTTTTAGAAAGTATCAGTTTTTTACTAATAAAATAATTAAAATTCTTATTTTATTTCTACAATAGTTATTGTTGTTTTTAAATGTGAGTGTTTTCCTTGTTCAATAACAACACTAATTTACATCGCAAAGCAATTGGTAATGCACAATGGGCCAGGTAGTGTTTTACAATTCGTATCGTGTATGAGGTATGATCAAAATAATTTTGTCCTCTATAAGTCTAAAATCCGGCCCATTGCGCATTGTGGCAAAATTTTGTAATAAAAAGTGTTATCAGTGACAACAAGTGATAATAAATAATGTTTATATGTATATATATATATATATATATATATATAATATATATATATATATATATATATATATATATATATATATATATATATATATATATATATATATATATGTATATATATATATATATATATATATATATATATATATATATATATATATATATATATATATATTTTTTTTTTTTTTTGTTGTTCTTTAATACAATATTATTTAATTCAATATTTACAAATAAATCAATAAGAAAAATTACATGCAAAGAAACCATTAAAAAATAAAGAATAAAGATAACTCAAAGAAGACCATACAGGTCTTGTCACCGAGAACCGCTGTTGAAGACTTTGAACTTAATTTAGGTTTTAGAAAAAACAAAAATAAATACAAATTTTAAACTTTTCTTTAGTTGTGGTCTTTATGGCTTGAATTAAAATACAAGTTCTTCTCAATCGCATGACTCAAGCGAAAACAATAATATCATCATATTCTTGATAAACGAATACGATTCGCATCATGCTCGCATCTATACGAACATTGAATCTTTTTACTCAAATGTATCTTACAACTACACTAATTTTAATTAATTATTAATTAATAAATAAGCGAAAATAATAATAATATGACTGCACTAGGTACATCCAAATGCACTTCAAGTTTGTCCAAAAGATTGTGTAGAGAGTTTAGAAAACCAAATGATGGTGTCTCTGTGTGTGAAGCCAAAATTATTAAATGTTGGTGCGTTTACGTTTATGCTTCCACTGACAAAAGTGCTAAACCATTGTCAAAGGATGGCTAACTTCCAGAAGTATCATACATATAATATTTGCAGATATACCCATTCACATACATGAACTTTTTTTTTTTTTTTTAATAGTTTAGTATATATAAATATATTTTTAATTTTTTTTTAAGTACAAAATTAAATTCAATATTAAAAGTATATTGCTCATAAGACATATTAATTACAAATGTTACAAATTAAAATAAAAATTAAAATAAACGTGTAAATAATAATAGACTATTGTACAAATAATGTCAGTGCAACTTTTAACAAAATTCAAATAATGGTGTTTAAATATAGTTTCTCACATAAAAGTTAAATCAATATTGTATAAAAGTAAAATACAAATAAGTGATGACAAAACTGGGTATAATTAAAAGTATATAAATACATTTTCAATTGAGAAAATTACTTTTTTTAATTTTTTTTTGAACATATAATAATTCCATTCATGAGAAAAATCAAAATTTTTTAAAATTATTTGATTCCATAAAAAAGCTCCACAAAAAGAAATGCAAAATTTACCAAAGCTTGTTTGAAGTTTTGGTTGTTTAATAAAATTATAATTTTTTTCTTTTAAAGAATATAAATCAAAAAAGGAAGCTGGAGATGAGTTGGTTTTACATTTAAACATAAAGCAAAGAACATTATAAACATTTAATTGATATATATTAAAAACATTCATGTTAAATAAGAGTGGCCTTGAGTAAGTAAAACGATTTTTGAAATTTTTAAGACGTGCAATATGCTTCTGCTGACAATAAAGTGGCTTTAATTTATTTTTATGGGTATTACCCCATGCAATATTAGCATAATTAATATGACTGTGTATAAAAGAGTAATATAGTTGTTTTAATAAATGTTTGTTTAAAACGCTTCTTGCTTTATATAAAACTCCAATGCTTTTTGCAATTTTGTTGCATAAATGTCCGATGTGATTCTTCCATAATAAATTTTCATCTACAATGATACCTAAAAAATTTGTGAAAATTACTCTTTTTATTTGAATATTATCAATATGAAGAAGAGGCATATTACTTGGAAGTAAATGTTTTTTAAACCGTGGATGAAAAAAAAAATCCATTTAGTTTTATCAATGTTAAGTGAAAGTTTATTTGGCTTAAACCAGTCAAATATTTTTGTTAGTTTTTTTTTTTTTTTTTTTTTTTCAAGTTGATTAAGGTGCCCCAAGAAGTCCTTATGGTCTTATCACAGAGCACCGCGGAAGAGCATTTAATAGGAAGTTCACGCCTCCTTCCCAACCGATGTTGCAAAACCTGTTCAATGTTCGTAAAAAAGTTTTTTGATGTTATTAT